TACGAGTTCAAAACTTAAGTATAGTCTGTAGTATAACGTCGAGTCGTAGGTAAAATAAATTTAAAGTAACTAAACTAATACATTTCGCGTTTTAAACCGTTACATGCGTTTTGAATTAATTCATTGTACTTGCGTCAAAATTTATCTTTTATCATATTGTGTATTCTTAACTATTACATGATGATGAACACGGGCCCTTAGATAAATCGAATAGTGTTAATAAACCTGATTCGAAACCATGACCCACCTCGTAACATGCTATTGTTCGAAGGTGATATGCCAATTTGTTATTTATTCCAAAAAACTACAAATTAAAATCTCAATATTTGTACGTATATTGATAGTTTTACAGGTCCACATGGGAAGGTTAAATATATATTTTTTTTACATTCCAAAAATACCTTGTTCAACAGCACACGATGATAAATGATGTTTGTTGTTTGACCCGTCTATCTTATGACATTAAACACAATCTGTGCCGCCACATGTGTAATAAATACTTGTGTAACAGAACAAATCGGTGTTTTTAGTCAAACTGAAATAAAGGACTGCGTCTGCATATATATATCAATATATCCAAACGCTGTGTTGCGAATCAATAACTTTGTCTAACTTTAATCTACATAACATCTAAGTAACTTTGTGGAACGTTTTTTATAGTATTCATTTAAATAAAACAGTTTTTACGGTTTAAAACACGATGTATTACAATTTAATTTAGCGGCGCGGCGACGCTGTGTGTCGTGGTCACGGTAAAAACGTTGGGACGTAGTAAAAATAAATTGAAAATAACTTAACTAATATAATGAATAAGTTAAAAGTATTAATCAGAAGTGTTTTATTTAATCAGTTTGTATTGATTTCTAAGAGAACAGTTTTGTGTATTTTCGTTTGTACTATAAGCTTTCGATATCTTGTAGACTTAAAAGATTATGTTCATGTAAGCTATAAGTATTTAGTAGCTCAATTACTAATAATTTATAAATTTTAGTAAATAATTTTAGGAGTAGGTTGTTTAAAAACTTGATGGATGTGCAAAAACATGTGAAAACTATAAATTGAAAAAAGCACGGAACGCTGTGGATGCCTGTTGAAGTTCTGCCCGAGTCGTACATTTTTCAATTATAACATATTTGTTAAAAAAGAGTAGGTTCTGTCAGACTTTTGTAAATTACAATAAACAAAAGGGTTCTCTTCGAAATAAATCTCAGTTCCTTATTCGTTTATTCTTAGTTCCGCTTACTCAACTGCACTTTAATATGATATTGGACCAAATCCCTGTTCAATATCATACGAATGCATAAACAAAGCTGTCTTCAAACCGTTTTCATAGAATAAACACTACCACGTGCCAATAGTATGGAATAATGCATTATGTATGGATGTTTAATTCATGCACTTAGTCCCTTAAGCAAATAATACAGTTACTTGTCCAAACATCTATTATATTTAAGTTAATGACAACTTTGTACAGTCGTTCAGTCTCCCAGATTCAGTGGTTATATATATTGCATCGTGTATTTAAAAACTCAAAGAAATCAAAATCAAAAATATTTTTTTCATGTAGGTAGCTTAGTACTTATAAACGTCAAAACAGTAAAAACGTTAAATGTCCTAATTTACAGTTACTACCAGTTCTATCAACTACGAATATATCTACACTAATATTATAAAGTTGAAGAACTTATTTGTTTGTTTCTTTATCTTGCTTGAATTGGTCGCAGCGTGGTGTTTTATAACTTAAAGCCTTCCTCGTTACATGCTCTAACAAGACAACATCATATTTTAATTCAAACTAGTAGTTTCGGAGATTAGAGTGTAAACAAACAAACTCTTTAGATTTTTAATATTGGTATACATTTTATTGTCGAAGATAGTTAATCAAATGATAAAATTTTATTATTTATGCTCCTGTTAATTTTTTAAGGCAATTATGCAATCTGGGGTAACTGTATTAAATTGAAAAAGTAAGTAAATTTTACGAAACATATCAAATTTAAACTAAAATTTGATATGTTTTGTAATCTCGTGCACTCCTGATTCTCCCGATTTCTATTCTTAAAACTAAGCTTTGTTTATTTTAATTTTTAAATAGATAAATAAATATTTATACTGTATATGTTAGTAAACATTAAAAACAATAGTATTTCAACGTGTCTTTACAAATGTCCATTTCAATTCCTGAAATTACTTCTAAATGGAAATTCACTTCTAAACTTTTCTAGTTTATGTTGTTATATCAGAAGCGTCCTCAGAGTTAATTCTTGTTTATAACCCGCTGGGACATTTGTTATTAATGGGGCTTCGAAAGAGAATTTTGCTATTGAATATTATTTTACAAATTTATACTAAAACAGTCCCTGTTTAATATTTTTTATTTTATTGACTTCAATTGACTTCAATTAAACATTTTATTAATAAAAAATATGTATTTGTATTTTAAAATGTCCCATCGTGGTAATGCCGTGGTCGTCGGTACGATTCACTGCCAGGTCGCGACGTGTTTCTAAATCTTTTGTAACTTTTCAAAAACTCGTTAGACTCCATCAGTAACTTCTGGACAAAGTGGTTGATAAGCATATCAAACTTCCATCCAGGTCATAATCTACCGCCTACAAGCAAAAATTAATGAGTTAATGAATATTAGTACGTCTTAATCAAATGTTGTAGGGCGGATGAATATCTTTCATCGAGTAAACCCCATGTACATATCTCGTCTTTTTTCTTCTGTTATAAAAAAGAGTTCATTCTGTGAAAAGTATTCAACAGAAATGGACAGAAATACTTTTCACTTTTGAAAAGAAATTCTTGTCGAGTTCTAATCTCCGAGACACTGAGCGTAACAAAGAATTCTAATTAAAAGATCAATACTTAGCGACATCATTCTGGGACTGTCGGAGAATTTGAATGAGAGGTCAAATTTGAAATTTTACAAAAGTGTTAGTTTTCGACAAGGGACTAATATTTAAATAAAAAATTTCGCCGAAAAAGATTATTATAATATAATGTGTTCCTCTTCAACATAAACACTTAGTTAGTTGTATTTGTAATTTTCGGTAGCAATATACGTAAATAAAACACTTTTTAATAATTGGTTAGACTATATTATTTAAATAAAACACAACGTTTTAACCTTTAGTTAAACTTATTTTTAAATTAATTTAACTACGGCCAGACGTTTCGGATGCTTTGCAGCAGCCGTGGTCACATATATTTATTTATTAATTATGAACAATGACATTTCACAGCTGAGGTTACCAAATATAACACTGAAATAATAATTATGATACACATGTTGTTTTGCTAAATTATGAATATAAGGCGCGATTATATCTCCTTTTATTTCATTAAGAGCAAAGTTCCAATTGTTAATGTAAATAAAACACAGGCGCTACACAGACTTTTAAAAGTTAATTTGATACAAACTTATACTACCCATTATGATTTTATAGTGCAGTCATAGACTGCATAACAAATGCAGAATGAAAAAAAAACCACAGCTTAGTTAAATAGTTTGCATTATCTATGATTTAACATTGTATTGACATATCGGAGCTGTCATCGGTAATTATCTGAGTAAACAAATAATTTTTAATGTAGTTAAATATATTGTATTTCAAACAAGACAACTTTTAAAAGCTAAAAAGGATACAAGACTATAGAGAAAAATGCCCTTGTCAGCAAAATTTAGACGTGGTTAGTTATTTATCTTTAGCATACGTTATCCCAGGTGTGACCCATATCGTTACATTCTCTGGCATTCTACTTGTCTATATATTATTTGCTTTCTTCTCTGTTTGGAATTACCTGAGCCTTGTTAAGATGTACCTTTCATATAAATAAACGTATTATTGAGTCCATTTGCGTCATAATTCTCTGAATCATCTCAGCCGCTGTAACACATATCTGCCATTTTATTATGATTGATCAAGGTCTCTGTCACGCAGGAAAAAACCATCAGATAACATCTGATTCCACAAACAGATATTGGTGTAGGTACTTAAATCTACTTAAGGTGTATTTACTTTAAGTAATTGGTTTAAGTGCGTAAAATGCATTTTAAAGATCTATAACTTTATTATGCATAACTAAATATTATGCGAGTGCCTTATTGAATAATTGAAATAAATCAATTTTAAATTTAAACTACATTTGAAAACCTGCACATGAAGGCACTATATAATTTAAAATTCGAAAATAAATTAAACCACACTATTTATTTAAATAAAACACTTTAACGGTTTAAAACGCGATATATTAGTTAAACTTATTTGAAAATGATTTTTTAACTTCGGCCCGACGTTTCGGATGCTTTGCAGCAGTTAAAGTGTTTTATTTAAATGTGTACTACTCGCGTAAACTATGGAAAGTATTTCACATTATTTATTTCATTCTTAACGATAACCTCCATATTAAATTAAAGTATATTTTGTGTTGATAAAAGTATAACATCAATTTTTTTTATGGCGCATAACTATTCTCGCAGCGTACACAAACAGAAAAATTAAAGGGGCATAATTTTCTCCGTTTTTTCCACATCGACCTCTTTTCGTTTCTTCGCCTCTGTTGGACGCAGCCTTATGTTTTATAACCGAAAGCCTTCCTCAATGAATGGTCCAATTAAACAAAAATAATGTTTTAATTCGAACCAGTTCCCGAGATTAGCGCTTGTAAAGGAATAAACAAACTCTTCAGCTTTCAGCAGATTTAGGCGGAATAAGCTGAAGCGGAATAAATATAAGTTTATACGTATATTTGGGAGGCTATGAACAATGTTGCGTAGTGTCACATATAATTATTAATGAACCAATTAATAGCTGACTGTGGTTTTTGCCATAAAGCGTAAACTTGAATTAATTGCTTCTATATTTTTTCCACGTAAAATTCTCGGTAAAGATTTTTAATTAACATTTACGAATCAACAGCTGCGCGTTCGTTTATACTTTAGTAAGTGTACATAAGAGGAATCATTTTCTATTGTGAAATCTTTTGTTTCAGAAATGTTAACAGCTATGAAAACAGCAAAGAAAAATAAAGAACCACAAACCGAATCAGATCCAACGGGAAGTGAGATTGATAATAATGAAGATAAAAACAGTGTTGTAAGAAATGCATCAATTCTATCCAAGCCAGTCAGCTCTTCACAATCTCTCTCTGTCGACAATTCACGAAATTCAGTCAACAACAGTCCCGACAAACAGACCAAATCGAAGTAGTTCTATTATTTTTATTATTAATGTTTCACTTTAAGTAACCTCTAATTGTAGGAATCAATAATAATATTCAAAAATAAGCATTGTTTTCATTAAAACTGTGATTACTTATTAGTTTCTTAATAAGTAATTAATGCTTTGAGTTTTTTATTGCGTTGTTTATATTATAGATTTTTCAATTCGATAACCGGTCGTGTTCACCGTCCACCTTTTTGTCACATTTCGTGTAGTTCCTGGCTCCCTTCCAAAAATATCATAGTATGTTGACTATCTGACACTTCTAACGCGCATAAAATTATTGTACTATACGACTTATTCCTAAGCATTCATTTCTTATTGTTAAAGAAAATACCGTGAATGTACAAACGTACGTGTAAAATCTATCACAAATAAAAGTCTATATACAATGGACTTTAAAAATTATAGAAATATATTAATTATACTTGCGGACGAATCCGCGGAGATGACATAACTTTCGAAGTATCATCTACTCTTTATTTCGCTTGTTTTATTTTCAGTTCGATTAACTTTGACAATATAAGCTCGAGGCCGACACAGTGGCGCCATTCTGTGTTGAGCGTTCGGCGATAAATCCCATGAAATCCCAATAAACAAACCTCGGAAAGAGATAACTCATTATTAAACTTGTTCCTTGACGTAATATAACTGCTTAAGTAAGTTTTTAAAATGTAAAATGTACAAACATGTTTAGAAGGCACGTGTGTGCAACTATATTGAATTATTATTATGATACTACATACTTTGTTAATAAGATTGTAACATAATTCCGGGAGGTATACTTACGTTTTACTCAGTACAGTTTAAGACAGGTGTAACACTTCTTGGGTTGCATTATCAATGTGTGATGTAAGATATTTTCTCAAACGTAATAGAACATAATTGGAGAGACATCAATTTCAGCCAATATTATATTACAAAGTATAACGCACTTGCAATTTACTTTCACTCTACTTCAATCGTTATAAACAAATTCAGAATTTATAGGGACATATAATGACACATACTGGAAACACCATAGATAGAGTATCGTACTATTGCTGTACAAATTGGGCTAACATGTCCTATAACTTCTTAGGACTTTTATAGAAGTACTTTTCGCGATTAACAATTATTTAAATTCAACGTTCAAATAAAACACTCTAACGGTTTGAAACGCGATATATTAGTTAAACTTATTTGAAAATGATTTTTAACTTCGGCCCGACGTTTCGGATGCTTAGCAGCAGCCGTGGTCACGTGGCAGCGGTGGTTAAAAATCATTTTCAAATAAGTTTAACTTATATATCGCGTTTTAAACCCTTAAAGTGTTTTATTTAAATGTGTACTACTCGCGTAAACTATAGACAGTATTTAAATTCAACGTATTAAGTTATTATTGGTGATGCTCAAACATACAAATATATTTTCGAAAAAATTTCAGCCTTTTGTAGACTTTAGACGGCACCGTAATACCTATAGATGTAAAAACTCATGCCAACTATATTTTGAACTCACCTGAATCCTAATAAGAGACACCTTCGTAAGAACACGATGTGGGTGCTTGTGCTATAATGGACAATATGCTGTTCTAGAACATAAAGTAAATGTAAATAAATTAAATATAAATAATATACCTTCAAATTCAAATTATAAGTATGTCAAATGAAGATACAAATTGACGTGTATTAATTTTTCGATAATAACATGACAGACGTCAAAATCTGATTACAACGTCTAAGCTAACTCTGATATTTGAATATTTTATCACCTATTTTCCATAATCAGATTAATTGCTAGAATTTAATTTAATTATGCAATCTAGATCAATATATCGAAGGCAGCTGCCAAAACTTATGGCATGTATGACTAAAACGAGTTTGGAAAATTTGAGAAACAGAGCTTTATTTAGTTTAGAAGCTTTGGATGCGAAGGGGATTCGTAGGTAAGAATATGCCTCTGTGTTCTATATTCAATATATTTTTCTACCTAATTTTAATACTCACTAAGATAAGAATATAAGACAGGAAATAAAACATTTTTTTTTACCGTTAAAATGTAGACTATGCAATAATTCTGACTTATCAGTTAGTATATAAAAACTAAGCATGTACTCAATTTTCTTGATAATTATTTATAAATACTTTTTTTATTGTTGACCACGTCCGCCATGTCGACATGTCGGGTCAGTCTCCCTGTAGTTAAACTTATATTGTCTTGTCTTGTTAGGGCTTTCAACCGCTATTATTAGTGGTGTATCTCGTTTAATGTGTACAATTTGGATAGTGTATTGTTTAAAATTATATATTGTGTTGTATAGAATAGAACTAAACATTTTCTTATTCCGTGCTTTATACTAAATATTTCAAATCCTTTTTCAGGAGAAAGCGGCCTTTGCACCAATGCCTTATACTCGAACTTAGAGAATCTGGCTTCTTTGAATCGTCAGATTATCTTCAAGATCTAATATACGATAACATACAATTAGTGAAGAACGATGACATCGGTATTGTCGTTGATTTGAGAAATAGGGAAGACTACTTAGAACACATTTGCGCTGGGCTTATCCAAGCAGAGAAGTATCGTGATAAAGGTTACTGAAAATATATCTATCTATACATATATTTAAAGCTGAAGTGTTTATTTGTTTGTTTGAACGCGCTAATCTCAGGAAATACTGGTTAGAATTAAAAAAAAACTGTTATTGTTTCTATTATTGCTGTGTTCGCGCTGTGACTAATAGGAGCGAAGAAACAGCGGGAAATTTAAAAAAAACGGTTCAAAACTATGTATGAAAGAATAATTTCTCTGTAAGTTATTTAAAAAATATGTCCGCGATCTCTTAAGATTAACTTGCAAGAACGACGGGACCCAAAAGACAGGTCGCGAGCGACGGGACACGACCGGTGTCGTGGTTGGGCTTAGATTTATACAAATCAAGAGTAGGTTTGCACAAACAAATGTGGATGTCCAAAATAACTATTCTACGCGGACGAAATCGCTGACCCAGCTAGTTTTAAATAAAACGCATTGAACTGTTCAAAACACGATATTGCACACGGTTTAAATGAAACAACGTCTATATGTTGCATCAAAAAACGTTCGTAGATGTTTCTGTTGAGACACCCTCTATCGTCTATCACCCACACTCGGATTTACATAATAACATACAAATGATTTATATTTATTCAGTAGGTATAGTACTCTTGTGTGTACAGCTAATGATAATTACTTATGGAAGCTTCTAAAAGGCATAACTACGACTTCGTTAAATTACTCTGGACATGGTAGTGCCATAAAGTAAGGATTTTGTGAAACAGTAGTCGAGATTATGATTAGATTTTGCACGATAGAGAAGGGACAAACATGGGCTTCTCTTGGTAGACTGTGAATTTACCCAATCTATATGACATCTAAATAAGATATGCTATCGACCTATTTTGGCTTTGGATATTCGGAAATACACAGACTGAAACTGAAACGCATTGAAGTCTACCGTTTCATTGTGGACGGTGGCTGGGTAACAAACCACCGTCAACAAGCACGGAGTTTTGATATTCCTACGTACTGTCCACTCCATATCCAGACTTTCCAGATAAAGTCCAATTTGTTTAAAACATTACAAATTATTTTAAAACTTATTGGACCCGGTGGAGATCAAACCTACGCACCATTCTTTATTAACCATACATCTATAACTAGACCACTGTGCCTGTTATATAACGCGTTCTTATAATGTTTCCTAAAATCCTGACTCGAATGTTGTAATACTGGTGGAACCGGATACTAACTTGCTTATGTAACTATAATAATTAGATTTTTATAACTTTTATTTTTTACTTCTTTTTTAATCAAATGATCACACAAATCCACAGTCACAGTATTCTGCAGTTGCTAACACAGTGTCCTAAACCTAATCTTCAGATTTTCTCAATCCATTTAAACATGCAGCGCTAGCGCATCCATAATGGTCCAATAATATTAACTTTACAAGTAAAACGATGTGGTCATGTTCAAGTTCAATCCGCCAATAATGCAAATAAAATACTGTCTGTAGTTTACGCGAATAGTAAATTTAAATAACCACTTTAACGGTTAAAACGTGATATATATTAGTTAGACTTGTGTGAAAAATATTTTAACTACGGCCCAACGTTTCGGATGCATTGCAGCAGCCGTGGTCACGGGGAGTCCCATCGTTTTAAACCGTTAAATTTAAGATATCACGTGACAAGTAATAATGATAGTTTTTTTTATAACAAACCTGATTGATACTAGTGATCTTGAAGCATATTATATAGAATGCAAATACATTATAATATTATTTAAATGTTAAGGTGACACGAAGAAGGAATGTCTAGAGCTCCTCGTGCTAGCCATGCACTACGCGGAGAAGGGGAAAGGGATTCTGTGGCTCGCGGAGAAGTTTTTTCTCGCTTCGATCGCTGTTTCCAGTCAATATCTGATTGATGGCGGTAGGCAGAAGGGCTGCTGCAAATATCACTATGCGAAGTTTCTTCTGGATAAGTGTAAGATATATATTAATGCAAGAAAAATAACTCATAGTTTTGTTATGACAGATCAGAACGTAACATCAAAAAAAAAACTTCTAAAGACTGCATTGTCAACCTGAAGTAGGCTTACTCTTTGGGAAATCCACATTGAGTGTGAAATCCTGTTTCCCCCTTGGGGCATGGGGCGAACACATTTCTGCGTCCGTTTCACTGATGCGTTCTTTAATAGGCAAGTAGTTAATCAGACTACTGTGCCCTGCCCGACCGAAACATTTTTTTCTGGTTTCCCTGGGATTCGAACCCAGGACTTCTCGCGCTTAACGTAGTGCTAGGCAATACGTTTAACCATTTGGCTATAGAGGCGATCAAAATCTATTGTTTAACACATGCCTACTTTGTAAGCTACTTATCTAATCGATCCGATAACGTATGTGTTAGCGGATTAAAATATATTAAATACAAATTATTTAAATAACTTATTAAAACAACTCTCCGTTGTTATGTAAAGTTATGTAAGAAAATCTCTTTCAGTCCCTGGCGCGGATCCAGAAGAACCTTTTGTTATTTTGACGGAAGTCAGGGATAGCGCCATTGGAAAGGTATACGTGAAAAAAAAATAAAATTCGAATTTCGAGTATCCAATATATTATATGTATGTATGAATTGCAAAATTTGGACAGTATTTTTTTCAATGGTATAATCATATATCATTATTATATTCCACCTGTATAAGTACTTTGATTTAATACCCCCGTTTGCCTCTATGGAACATGGGCAAAACACATTTATGTTTTATTGATTGTCTTTTCTTTACAGTCAAGTAAAGTTTAGGTGCTCTTCTCATGCAAACAATTATTTTTTTCGCCGGGGTTCGAAGCCTGGACCTTTACTTTTAGGCAAGCCTTTTTATCATCGAGCATAGAGATGTCAGTTCTAATATTATAAAACTGAAGAGTTTGTTTGTTTGAACGGAATAATCTCGGGGACTACTGGTTCAACTTGCAAGAACGCCGAGACACGGACGATGTCGCGGGCACAGTTAGTTACATAATATATCGAAGTATAATATTTTATATTTTACACATGCAGTTAGCGGCGGCTACAAGTTTTTTTATCGGATTAATAGCCTTGAAAATAGTTTTATTAACGTTGAGATTTTGTTAAATGGAGCATAATTAGCAAATATATACAGGATTGGCCTTTATATGAAGCTACGGATGAAGGTCAAGAGGTTTCCTCTGAATTGCTGTTTTCCGCTACAGCGTCTCAACTGCATCGGGTCCTTGTGAATAAAGCTAGGTCATGCCGAAAGAAGGATGTAGCTAAGTCGGAGACACTCGCTCGTTTAGCCGAAAGAAGAGCAAGAGATGGTTATTTGGCTATTACTAAGTAAATTAAAAATCGATTATGAATTAAAAAAAATTACAACATGGGCAGGATATGCACCGGCATCCACAGCGTTTCTTGCTGTTGCCCTCACCAATTGAGCTACGGCGTCCTACATGTTGTTGTCGAATTATTTCAACCTATTGATATTATGATACCTGAACTTCTTGTGCAATGTAATTTCAACCTTAACATTTGAGTATTAAGGTTCACTATTGCTACTAAGTATTATTATGTTGTAATAATCATTAATAGTTATGGACGAAGAAAGATTCAAACAATCGGCTTGATTCTAAAGAGTTCGTTGGTGTAGTGTTAGCAACGTATGGCTAATAATCAACGGGTCGTGGATTCGATTACACCCGAGTCCAACATTATTTATAATATCTAATGCCAAAATAGTTCGACAGCACATTTTCTTTTTCGATGTTATACGGCTGGGCTATTTCGCCTACTATCAAGTGAGTCTGCGAGACCTTGTCTGTCTCTCTCTATCATAAGAGACATATAAACGGAAAAATATGTTGGTATTTGTTGTTGGGCTATTTTTCAGTATAATAAATTATACGTCTTTTTCAGCAAAAGATATCCCGAAAACGGCTGAAGCAATAATTGAGATCGGAATAAGTCAACTAATGATGAATAATTTGAACAATGCCCAAAAAACATTTGAGAAGGCGTTTAAAATTCACACGGAGAGCAATAACGTTGAAGGTTTGTGTGAAACCCGAATGCATATGGCCGCTGTAATGCAAAGGTTGGTTTTTAAATATAATATACAATGCAATACCTAATTCACAATATTATGGGATTCTCAAATTTCATATTGTAAAATATTAAGCTATACTTACATATTAATAAATTGTCAGAATAGCCGTTGAAATATACGTTCCGTATCCAAAGACTTAGAAACACTAAGATGTGATAAAATTGATTTATAAAAGCTATAACATTATAATATAAGGCGGAGAATTTATTTGTTTGGACACGCTAATCTCAGGAACTACTGTTTCGAATAGAAAAATAAGTTTTATGTTGGTTAGGGCGTTTATCGAGGAAGGCTTTAGGCTATAAAACATCACGACGCGACCAATAGGAGCGAAAAAACAGTAAGCGATGTCGAAAAAACTACGGGATGCGACCGACGTCGTGGGTAACAGTTGTAATTTATAAAAATAAGAAGAAAATTCCAAAGTAACTATTCTACGCGGACAAAGTCCCTGGCACAGCTAGTTTTAATAAACCGTGACAGTGAGTTAAATTTTCACATTTTTGTCCCTAGCAATAATGCAAAATTTCACACAAAGAAATACGATTTTTGCACATTTTTAATTTATACCGGCACTCGGCATCCTTTCTGACGCTACGCTTTATTTAACCATGTAAATTTTTTGTTAGTCTTTATAATTGCCTGAACAGGTTGGGTGATCACGAAAGAGCCGCAAAGCTCCTGACCGAGATGGGAGCTTCAGCTATGGAATATGGTTTACGACGTCAACTTGGAAGAGCGTTACATCTGTTAGGAGAGCTACATCTGCGCCGGGAGCGTCCAGAACTTGGCACTCAGCATTTAACCGAAGCCTTCCATTGTTTTTTAGGCGTTAATTGGAGCATGGTAGACGTGGTAAAATTTTACATAGACGCATTCAAATAAAACACTTTTAACGATTTAAAACGCGAACTATTTAGTTTACAATTTATTTTAAGTACGACCCGATGTTTCGAATGCTTTGCATCAGCTGCATTGTAAATACAATAACATTTTTGCGTTCTAAACCGTTAAAAGTGTTTCATTTAATTGGGTAATACTCAAAGGCAGAAATTTACTTTAGAATGAATCATTTTTACTCCACGTGATTAATAAAAGAAGACAGAAGGAATAAAAGCACTAATCTCCACCTCACCACGTGATTTCTTTTTTTAAACAGGGCGACTCTAATGTTAGATCCATGTAGAACCAGTTTCGAATTACACTAAGGCCATTGTAAATGATGAATATATCTAAACACAAAATTGTATTGGGAGATAATAAAATAACAAAAGACAAGATTTTTTGGTATTGTGTCATTCTATTCCAACGCCTATTTTAATGGTAAAGATACACAGACGCACAGACCAACCTTTTGTTATATAATTTAGTAATTGCAATACAGAGCGCTACTCTTATTCTGTAGTAGTTATAGATTAATCTATCTACAATTATATGCATTTTAATAGAAAATATCATTGCTTTTCAGTCTGGTAAAATAAAAACTGAAACACTCAAATCTAAACAAGATGAAGGCATAGATGTAATATATAAACATGAAACCGTCAACGTAATCTTCGAGGAGGAAGCGGAACAATCACGGCTTATGATGGCTATTTCTGCAGGTCTCTGGTGTTACATTTGAATAAAATGACGTACTTTATTACACCAATATAATAAAATTAATGTGTTTATGATCTGGACTAACTCGTTTAGAATCAGAATATATATCTACACCAATCAAACAGGTATATATTTTAATATGATATAGGAATTTAAATTACAAAACCGACAAAGTCAAGGGCAACCAACCCAGTTTGTATTTTTGCACGTTTATAATTAATATAAGCGACAATCAAAAACTGGTTCCGTTGGTCTTGAACAGTCTAATCTTTTATAATTATTTTTATTACATAAAATCTGGATTTATAGCTAGATCTTTGTCGTTATATAAGTTTTTAATCATAAATAATTAATTACTCTTATAAAAATTATTATATATGTATAAATGCTGGAAATTGTATATTAGAAGTAAAACAATAAAACCTAATGTACCATAACAATATAATGCTGAATAAAGAATATAAAAATAAAGTTTTTATATTCTTTATTTCATTTAAGATTACTCAACAATGGAACGATCATTTTATTTATTTATTTATTGGTCTGCCAGCGTTAAATTACATTCATACATTTATAATATTTACATTCATAAAGTAGGTTACAGATGCATTTAACAATTATTGACAAACACATCATTTGCCAAAAGACAAGACCAATTATTATAATATTATTTTAAATTGATATAGTCCTTTCTATATTCCAAACAGGACAAGAATTGATGGCGTCATATTTTGAACTTTTGAGGGAGGGTAGAAAATGTTCTATCGCGAAGGTAAAGGTGATTGAATGGAAATTATCGAAATCCGGTTGGTGGGTGAAAAGGCATCATCATGATCTTCTACCGTGCTTGTGCCCATTACATCGACGATCGCCTCTTGATGTACTAAGGTAATAAACAAATTTTGATAATAAACAATTTGAGAAATCCTAAAGGTGAGGTAAACATAATAATTATAGTGACCTTACGCTATATTTTAATAAAACAAATTAAGAATTAAGCTCTTATTAGAAGTCAATTTTTTAAAGGATGAAACTGGATAAACAGTATATGACTTCGGATGGATCCGAAGTGGATGCCGCTGGTCTCAAAAGAACTGGCGACGTTGACGATATCAGAAAACTGAGAAGCAGTTTTGGACAGTCCAATGTTATTGAAGGTATTAATTAATAAAATATCACTTCATTATTTTTCCTTTATTGCTGCAACAGATCATTTCTAATTAATAGCATAGATTCTCTATTTACAACTCATGCTTAATATTAAGTATAATTAACACAATTGAGCAATATCGAAATACTTGCACCTCTTCATCCCATTTAAGAAATCTGCCACCCAGATTATTAATTGATCATTCTTATAAATAAAAAAAATAACAATAATTTAGTCAGTACGGGTATCACAAATGCATGTAACGATACATAGGTACTGCATAAATGTGCACATTTCCTACAGTTAAAATTATGTACCTAAAGTGGTATTAATCTATTTCTTCTAACATGCTTTGGCCATTCTCTTTCGGGGCTCCAGGCGCACTTTGAAACCTTCAGCTCGCTTTAGGATAATGTCAGCTTGAAGTTTGAAGTCAGATTCCTTCAGGTCAGAGTGGACGCGGAAGTTTCTCAAAATGGTTGAAAGGATAATCTTCAGTTTCAACATTGCGTATTTGCGGCCTAGAATAAATAATATATTGATTAATAATCATACACAAGGCGGTTATTATGATCACAATAAATTATGACATAGATCATATACTTAAGTAAAACCAATAATTTACTCACCTACGCAACTCCTGGGGCCAGCAGAGAAAGGCACGAAAGCATAGTAGTGGCGGTTAGCAGAACGTTCAGGCAAGAAGTTGTCAGGGTCGAACTTTTCAGGATTGGGGTAGATGTCCTCACGACGATGTAACTTATAGGTAGCAATAATGACGGTGGAACCAGCGGGCACTTTCTTGCCATTGGATGCTATAAAGAAAAATAATGATTATTATCATCAATTTCATGTATGTATACTAAACAAAATAATTATATGATACTTACGCATTGTCACGTCTTGTTTCAGATGACGAGCAATAATAGGCACTGGAGGGAACATACGTAGAGTTTCCATCAAGCACCGTTCCAAATACTTCATCTCCAATGTGTCTTGGAAAGTGGCTGGACGGTCTGAGTCACCGAAAATTTTGTCCAGTTCTTCAACTACTTTGTCTTGAATGTCTTGATGGATACCCATAGCTGATAAGAAGAAACTGCTGCCAGCGGCGGTGGTGTCATGGCCCTACAAATCGCCATTGTTTTTAATGTTTTTAATGTATTTATAATACTGTATATTTGTGGACTGTTTTACTTTTTATTTATTAATCATAATAAACTTACCTCAAACATAATAGTGTCTACTTGTTCTTTGATTTCTTCGTCGGATATAACGACTCCACCTTGAGCACTTTCCAAAAGCAGATCAAGGAAAGCCAGACGCTTCTTCTGGCCGACTGCAGCATCGTCGTCAACATCCAAGTCATCCTTTAGACCACTGGATTGCCCAAAGGAAAGGCCCTCAACAGAGGTAGTTTTAGTAGATTCAGAGGGTTCAACGTATTCTGTTACAAGTGGCGATGGTTTATTTCCAGACTTGAATTCTTCCTTCTTCCTCTTGATAACCTGAAAGTTTATATATTAACGTAAATATTTAAATTTTGAAAATGTTGTGACATCTGGTGAATATTGCAATATGTACCTTTTTAGTTAATCCGTGAATAATGTCAAGCAGTTTGTTTTGTAGCTTTGCGTACTGTGTGAAGTTAAACAGAACATCAGGTCTGAGCCAGATCTTGGTGTGTCTCAAATGAAGAATGTCGCACATCTTCATTACAGCCATAGCGTATTCGAAACCACTTCGATCTTGTGTACTTTTGCTTACACCCATAGCCGTTTCTGCAAATAATCGATATATATTCACAAAACTATTCGCTTCGGATCGTGCTATTAACCTCGAGTGTATTTAAAGTCTTGCGTAATCAGGACTCGGTAATCCTCAACCCATTTTAGTGAATATTGGCCATTAACGAAACGTGTCATGTGGGGGGCCGCTGGGCTATATACGGCCTATTTAGAACGTTAAGTTGCTTTTCCTCATGCCATTATGAGTCACATTAATATTATGATGTGCTAGAAGCACGTTCGAAAGCCTGTGGTCATGTTGACACTGACTTGTTTATAAACAACGCAATTGCTACCATAAATGTCAACGATGTGACATCGTCGGCGAGGAGGAGAATGCCCTATTTTATCTTTATTTCCTTCATATTATACATTCAAATACGTGAGATCAAAGTAAGGTCTTTAAGTTAATTATTTCCTCATGGGATGTGATTTCTGTAGAATTCTATAATTATACTGCTGTGTAGAAAAAATAAGTATAAAGTACTAATAGTAATTTATAGGTATATTTTATGCTCTACAATTATTATGTCATAAAAACTAGTAATGCCAAGTTCAAGTGCGATCGTAAAAAATATTGATATTATATACTATGCAGTAAAAATAAGACCTATTAAAATTGTTTGAGGTAAATAAAAATGCTGTATTCGTACCCACAGATATGTTCGTCTCCTTGGGGCGATACAAAAAAATTACGTTTTTAATTACTTTATTAAGCTTTTTCAATTTAAATTATTTTAATTAAATTACAAAGTTTTTATGTTATGGGGATAAATGGCGTTTATTTTTGTTTATTAACTTGATTATTAGAATTGATTTATAAATTAAACTCACTTAAATAAACGCGAAATTAATAAACTCATAGATAAGTTAGCTAATTTTTTTCCTTTTTCTACCCTCAAGTGTTTATCAAAATGTGTTCTATTTTGTAAATTACAAACAATGTATCGATAATTGTACTTAATCGAACTTACCCAGTAGGATTTCCACAGTGCATTCGCTCATGTAGTCATGGCAGTCGAAGGTGCCAGTTTCTCTCTTCAGTTTGTCTACCACAGCCCTCGAGTTTGCGTTGAAAAGATCGATGAAACTCTTCAATACATTCAAGTGGAAAGTTGGTGCAATCAATTTTCTGTGAGAACGCCATTTTTGTCCTAGAAATGTATAATCGCATTGAGATATGACCTTTGAATGTTCTTAACATATAGTTTTCTCTTTAGTATTCAAGACTAGGCGTTGAATAAATTTAAGGCGACGCCCGCAGACAAGCCAATTTATAAAACATTTTAAAATCAGTTAAGTCACATTAAAAAGACAAAAATTTGACAATTGGTGACCAATATTTTTCAAAGTCTAAAACCAATATCAGTATATACTGTGTACATTTTAAGTTAATTTAGTTATCTTAAACGATTTTGTTTCCGCGTATCGCTAAGTTACAAAAACGTTTCAGTCGAAAATACACCTAATTAATGACTATATTAAAAGGTCTTACCGGTACTGATGAGGAGACCATCTCCGAGCCATGGCTTGAAGAATTTGTACTCATCCGCCTTATCAATGTGGACGTGACTGCTGAGAATTAATTCAACATCGCGTGGATCGTACAAAAATACCAAGAGACGAGGTCCGATCCACACCTTGATGATACTCTCATCGAATTCTTCACTGCGCTTAACGATTCTCTTGAAGATTTCTGTTAATAGAAACAGAAAAATCTAAATACTGTAATTTTGTATAGGTATCCAAGTAGTATATTTTTATTGTTAAATACTGCGAGAATGCTGACATATTAAAATAATCTAGGCCAAGGTTAAAACATAACTTTTTACTTGAGAACGGTTTTATAATATATCCTCCTTCCTTAATTTACATTGAAATTTTAAAAATAGTATTTATAATCTCATATATACATACATTTTGCGTTTTAAATCGTTAAAAAGCGTTAATTAAATGTGTAGGTATTACTCGCGTAAACTACAGATGGAACAAATAACAAGATTCAAGCAAATCGAAAGGTTTGAAGGGGTCACAGTGAGTTGGATAACCCAAAGTTCTCTGCTCGGGGGAAATGGGTGAAATAGTCTGCTGATGACAGGCTGATAGGCCCTCTATAGATGTCCCCGTTAGAAAATAATAATAAAACTTTTTACATAAAATGAGATTATAAATAAAATGACATTTTAACCTAACCAATACGTACCATCAGAACCACCGGTGAATTCCAAAGCATTTCCGATGAGAGGCAGTCCTTTGGGTCCCGCAATTTTATCGGCCAATTCGTAAAGGTGCCGTCTGGACATGCGCCAGTAAGTGTACCATAATAGCACAGCAGGTACCAAGAGAACGTAAAACAGGTTGGTGGCAGCCCATGAGCTGGTGGGCACGACCGTCTCAGCAGCCGCGTAGCTCATCGTGAAGTCCTTCAGTCTGAACGAGAAAAAACAATAGCGTTATATTTATACCCAGGCTCCGTTTTCCGTCCGCTTCGTTTGATCGCAACCTCCCAAATCCTTAATAACAATTCTTAAGTATAGAACTAATCAATTTTGATGTTTTAAACAACAAAGGTCTATAACACATCCTAATTGTCCGTTAAAGAATTGTAGCGGTTTAGTTTTTATTACTAACCTGTGTTATTTTTTCCTATTATAAAAATGTAATATTTTTTGAATTAAGACATTTCTAGTTTATAGAAAATGTCACGTATTTTTTGAGAAATGAAATAATGATTTGAGTAACAATTATTTGAGCAAAGAAAAAGTTTTTCTACGTGTTGCGCCTACAACTTTTAGTATATTGAGAATTTTATTTAAAAACGAATTTAAGAGCTATTTTTTAAATATCCAAAACTATTCGATTTAAATTTCGCATTCGTTTAATGAAACGCGTTAAAAATAATCTTAACACTTAATATTTAAAACTAGATCAGGTATCGTTTAAATTACAAAAAAATGGTATTAATTTATAATTTTGGCAATGTATGTTGCTTATTAATAAAAATCAGCAATATTCCAAATTTTAATCAGTTTTTTATAGAATCTTTAAACGACTTACGGCAACCGTTTAAAAGAGCAAAAATCTAAACACAATTTTATTCACAAAAATAATAATCACACAAAAATCACTGTCCTTTGCGCACACACACATTAAAAAAGGCCCTACCTCTTTCCAATAAGACTGGGCTCCTATAGGGCACTCGAGGTGGACTGTTCCCGGGGGGTGATAAGCACGTCTATTCGACGACTATTTATGATTCTCACGCGCTACAACCTATATAGACGTAAATGACGTCACTCTGTGGCGATGTTGACTGCCCCGTGTTTATCGAGCAGTTATGCAAATGTCTGTCAACTCTGAAGCTTCTAGTCTATGTCTCTAGTGAACAGCTTATGAGCTTGCACTGCTGAAAAATCAGGTGAACTGTTAAAGTTTCATGTTACTCTGTTACAATTACTAATTAATCAATAACACACTTTGCCCGTGACCACGGCTGCTGCAAAGCATCTGAAACGTCGGACCGTAGTTAAAATAATTTTCAAACAAGTTTATCTAATATATATCGCGTTTTAAATCGTTAAAGTGTTGTATTTGAATATTATGACTACTCGCGTAAACTACAGACAGTATTTAAAATATTAAATTTACTTTAAAAGTATGAGGTCGTAATTAATTCACTAAAAATGTCTTCAAAGATAAATAATCAAGAAAAGTCTCGAAGCAATATATTTCCAGTTGCTAAGCTACATTTTTGTAAGGCAATTTACCATATCCTCTGCTAAGATAATTAATTTTCTATTAAATTCTATGAAAATTATGAATATGACCATATTAAGCGAATATTTTCAATATTTATTGATCTTTTAAGTAAATATATTATACTGCGATTCATTGAAATTGTATAAACTACTTCGTAGATTAGCATGTTTGTGTATTTTTTTTTCCTACGCTGAGTCGAATCGAATCGACTCTCCTTTCTGCGAGATTCGCATCTAGGAACATTTGTGCTAGGATTTTTAATTTTTACTCGCCAATATTGTCTGTGTGTATTACAACAGAATTTATTAAAATCGACGAAGCCGTTGAGACATGTAATGGTTATATGTTGTATACAAAATTAATCTGTTAATCTACTATATCTCTCCCATGTTTCTATCCATTATCACGATTCTTCTACACATTGTCACGATAACAATGTTATAATCTCTGTATAGTAGTAATCTTATTAGACATTTTTTTTATAGATTTGAATGTTACTAAAACAAGATTAAGATTGTATTTTCTCTCATGATTTTAGTATTCACCTAATTTGATGACTACTAAAATGTGAACCTAATTTACTACTTTTGCTACTAATTAAATTATTTCTTTATTAAGTTTTTAAGGTATGTACATATTTAGTTAAGAAAATGCAAATAATAGCTAGCTTTTTCAATGTAAACCAAGGTTAAATTAAAAAATGATTCCGGTTCAAGTTCAGTTTCCACTTATGCATAAGTTGTAATCTATTTTTAGTATCAGTGATTTCGTGCATGAGTTAAATACCGTTTCTAATCGGTTAGCCGTCCATAAGTAATTAAATAACACCAAAATGGTAAAATATTAAAACTAAAATCTTTTGGGATTCGAGAAGGAAGGAATCTAAAAAAACCTACTTTTGTCCTGTGGTAACCTCTAGCTGCCAATTTAATACAAAAAAAAAAAATATTTTAGGTTGTTTTTGAAAAGCTAGGTCTTTAACGACCACTATAGGTACAATGTGCTATATGCCTATTAATAATCTTAAAATTAATAAGACCAGACTTTATATGGGCTGGATCAACCTTAGGCTAAGCCAGCCCATACAAATCAAAAATTTTAAGGAATTTAAAGGTCGAAATATATACCCTTTTCACTAAGACAATCCATCAATATAAATATGTAATGTTATTAATTAATGTTAACCGACCGATGTCTGTTCACCATGATAATTTAAAAAAATTTTAAAACATATACAGCCAGTGTTAAATTTCTTATAAAATGTTCTTTTGAAAATAAAAAGTATTTAATTAGAAAACAGAGGGAGAACCCTAAATAATATTATTCTTTTGACAACTAGAAACTGACTTTGCAGCCAAAATATGATTTTACTATATGGTGAGTAGTAAAAATAGTCTTTAATCAACAACCAACAACCAAACAACCAAAAACAAGATATAGAGTTTCGCCCTGATAGGAATGGGAGCCGATCGAGATATCGAGGCTATCCGACGAAAACGCAGCGATTTTGCAATAGTTAAGTGACAGACAGCAAGGATTATTGTTTTTAAATCTTATGAATTTTCCAGGACTACTGGTTTTTCGAGTTACTAGTAATTATTAATTACTTATGATAATCTAACTAGTTCCTAAGTACACGCGTGACGCATTAATATGTAGATGATAGCAAAGAATTTTAATATCTAATACTAATAGTCATCTTAGCATTGTGCTTTTGTTGTTTGTGCCAACATATTTATTTATAATGACGCGAAATTGTGTGGATTTAGGAATAAAAAAAAACTTTCATTAAAGCCTAAGAGTGTATGTAACTATTTTTATAAAATGGTTCATCATTTTATACAAAATATTTTACATAAACATCTATACAATTTTTAATCTTAGTCCGCATACACAACAACAATACCGTTATTGTGTATAGAGGTTATATAATTGTTAATTTGTGATTATCTTCTTTGAAATACTAGTAAAGTAGTTACTAATTCTATTTTGTTCTTTTAACTTCAGAAATGTGTATTCTCTTTATGTGATTATTTAGACCAAAGTAATACTGGCAATAATTTTTATGAACAGGCATTGCAAAAAATGTTAGAATATAACCTTAACAAAGTCAAAACAAAAAATAATATTAATGTTCCCTCATTCAGCAATATATAAATCTTATGTTATTATCTAAACATAAGATCAAAGTATATCTAAACATTTATTTCATAATCAATCTCGTTTTACCCTGTGGGACGTTATCTAGTTAACTTCATATTTTTCATTGTATATAAGACTTTAGTGCTTTGGGGCAAAGCACTAAAGTAAAAAAAAAAGCAGAATTCGAACTCAAGACCTTTTGTGCTTAAACGCAATGCGAGGCTGCACATTCAACTATCTATATTAGAATGTAATGTCAATATAAGTCCTATACTTCTTATTTCATATTTAAGTTCTATGTACTATTTTAAATAAAACACTTTAACGGTTTAAAACGCGATGTATTAAAGTGTTTTATTTAAATTTGTACTACTCGCGTAAACTATAGACAGTATTCTGTGTACTAATTTACTTTTTTGTTTTTAAATCAGTGTTTATGTTATAGTATCGACCACGGCAGTTGAGATAACTCCGTTTAATGAATGATAATTATAATGTACAATTAACTTATTCAATCTAGAATCCATACAGTTGCATTCTAATGATTCAAGGAACTTATAAATTATAAGAACCAAGGCAAAAGTATTAGTAATTACATATATTAACACTGAATATTATATGAATGAGATAAAATAGTATTATACAACTATATATGGATAGTAGGACAAGATCTATTTTGTACTTGATTATTTGTGGCTTTCGTTATTATTAGCGAAAGCAAAGTTAAGAGTTACAAAATAGTAACTAGAAAGTTATATTAAAATGCAAGTAAGAACGACTTTTATGATGATCCCTATCTGTAGTATGGTATCTATCCTCTCGGCGATAGATAAGAACTACGATAGAAAATGTTTTATAATTGATCAGAAGGTTAAGCAAGGCAAATCGTCTATCTTTACTAGCTAGAACTGTGGATAGATAGGTTATTGAAAACGGGCGTTAGCCATTAAGGTATGTGTTAGTCGGTAGATGAGCCTATTTCTATAACATCTAGCCAGTCCCCATCAACCGTGATCGAACCTTCTCCGTCGCAGGCGAACGATTTACAGTCCCCGAAAATGTCCGCTCGAATACTGCGTGTATTGAAGCGGGCGAACAAAGCCGTTTAGTATAGTTTAGTTTCATAAGCTTGTTGAGGACGAGTGTTATGTCGGTAGATTAGTTATTTTCTATTTAATGTAAATTTGTAGGCAGCTGTAACTTTTGTGCAATAAATTGTCGTTCTTTGGATCCCGCGTTTGGCGTTTCAGTATGTAATCGTATATCTAGGTTGTTATCGTTGGTAAATGGACTTTTAAAATACTTTATTTTTGTATGGCAAAGATGGATAATCTTTATAACACTTGTGTACTAATACATGACACCACTGGTTCTAGTCGACTCTTGCCTCCAGTAGGGTTTGTACTACCAGATCAAATAGAGACGGTTTACTACACTCGCAAGTCACCAATGTGGGCGTGAATTATGCATTCACCCGAACTGTAAAAAAATGTATTTCACATTCGATATAGCTGGAGCTCCACTGTATTTAATTAATTTAATAGATGTCGCATATATTGACTTTGCACGTGTCAAAGTCCAAATACTAAAATCTTCTAATAAAGACTTCACGATTTTTCCTTATAAGTATAGTAATTTAGTAGTTTAGAAGAAAGTAGTCCCCCGAGTAGTCAGTCTCCCGGAGATAAATTAAACATCCTACAATCTAATTTACTTTCTATTCAATTTCATATTTTTTGTAAAAAATGAAAGGTAGCTGAAATTAATATTGGTCTCTTGGCTTTGTCTCGTATAGCTTACGTAACATCCACTAAAACCAGTTATAAATCATAAAAAGGTAAATATTGAATATTTTCAAGATTCAATAATGTTTTAAATGTTTAGGCTCACTACATAATATTTTAAATCTACGTCAAAGTTAGTAAATTGACGTCCATTGTGTATTTGTATGTTAAACAATCGTACATCTTCTAGATACGAATTTTTGTATTAAAGAAATCAGATTAGCATAATTTTATACACCTATAAATACGTTGAACTGTTATTGAATTTTTTTACTAATTACCTAACTTTACAGCCAAACACCGCTTAGCGACAATAGATAACTGTATATTATAATAAGGATTTTTACCAATATAAGCAATATAATATCGCTAATGTCTATATGTTTCATATTAATTTATCGTATTGTAAACACTTTTTAATTTTTCGTATGTATGTATTCATAATATACTTTGTTTTCATTGCATGTTTAATATTTTTTAGTTTAATGAAACGTTAGCCAGTTATGAGATTTGATCGGCCATTTGCGCTACAGCTATTTTCTACGGGATCATTGGTCTGATGGTAGCAATGTAAGGCTAAAAAACCCGGTGAGTTCGGTCCCCACCGGGTTCAACATATTTTTATTCAATTTATAATTTTTTAGTGACCCGAACATCCACACGTGGAAAAGCCGTGAAATTTGCTCGCGCTCGATTCCTGTCGGTGACTTTCCAGATATTCAAAGCCATAATAGGACGACAACGCATCTTGAAGTTATACGGGATATTTCCCCCTTCAATAAGGCAACCTTCATGCTTGTTTGTCGTCTTCTAACATAAAAAAATGCTTAAGATATGTAAAAAAAAAGACGTTACGTGAAATCCTGGGCAGCCCGTGGAACATGGGGTGACCACATTTCTGTGTCCGTTTCACTGATCTTATTTACAGGTAAGTAGTTGACTTCTGTGCCCTGTCCGACCCAAACAATCTATTGTTTCCCCGGGATTCGAACACAGGACCTCGTGAGTTTAACGCAATGTCAGACAGCCTGTTTCACCATTTGGCTACAGAGGTGAAAAGAATATACTTAGAAAATATTAAATTC